TAGTGGGCTTAAGGGAAGACATATGGGTTTTCAGAGGTAAAAAAGACAATATTCTTGTAGAGGTTGTCCTGTGAAGTAATACTTTTGGGTTTGAAACAAAGACTTGAAATTTGGACAAGGGTGACATTGGCAGCGTGTCTATTGCCAGCCTGTGATGATTTGATCAAATTCTGAACATCTACAAATCACTGTTCTCTCAGTTCACACATGCCCAGAACAGCCTTTTTAGTGTTTGGCAATGAAGATACTATTTGCACTGAGTCTGTTCCAGTCCATCACAGATGCAGCATTGTTGACCAGACTGTGCCAATGCCAGCCCTACACAACAATTGAAAATGCTCCAGTGCAGAGCTGCAGGGGTTGAGCAGGACTCTTCTTCCAATTACCCCTGCATCAGCTAAAGGCTGCTGTTAAGTGCTCTGTCACTGCAACTGCAGCAGGGAGATTGTTTCTCCCATTTTCTTTCCAGTCAGGCAGCTAGCTCCCTCCTCCTCCTCGCCACCTGTGTGTCAGCAGCAGGAGCACCGAAAGTGCAGGAAAGACAGTGTGTGGTCTTATAATTAATTACTGTATCATAATAGACATGCAGGCAGCATTACTGCTGACATTTCTTAACTTTTTTTTTCTGTATGCAATCAATTACATATTGAAGATTACCTATGTGTCTAACACAGTAGCATACAACTCGGTGAACAATCACATTGATATTTCAAGGAGCCCATACGCACCACAAGAGAATGGGTATTTTTTTTTTACCTTTATTTATTTATTTTTTAGGAAAGTATTTTATTTTTGTGTTTCAATGGATGAAATTCATAACCTTGTTTGCTGATAAGACAATTCAAACATACAAATTCATTACAACAATGTGCTTTTCAGCTTTTTTTTTCATTTAAGTAACTGACAAATTTTGAAGGACACAGACAATAGGGCTCTAGCAGAATAATGTTACAATTAAAATTGATTTCTATGAAAAACAATTACAAGAGCTGTTGAAAAGACAGGGTAAGGGTTGTTCTTTTGACCAGAACAGAATGAATTAAAAAAAATGTCATAGGAAAACAAGGCTTTCCTTCCTGTGGAAGGAGAGAGGGAACTTTTCCTATTAAAACTAGGTCACAGGGGAGTGCCAGTAATATCAGGCTGCAAGAAATTCTCCCACTCAAGAAATACATCACTCATCCTCAGTTCTGACTTTTCATTTATAACATAATAAAGCCCACCTGAGAGACTGAAGTGCTTTTTCCCCCCTGTATCTTCTTTTGTTTGCATTGTTTTTTTCTCTGGGGTAAAATAAATGCAGACTTTTTTAGATGCTGTTAAAGGAGAAATGAGACAATGTGCCAATGGACGAATTAATTCAGGGCTGGTACCTTTTCCCACAGTTCTGTGATGTGTTACCCATCTTCAGTATCTATTCACTTCAGTTCTTGTGACTTGAGCTGTTAGCTCTTGTACACTGACTTGAGTTGCAGATGCTCTTGAATGCCAAAAATGGATGTAAACTGGTTGATCTGGTCTATTTAAGCTGAGGAGGATGCTGAGGGCTAGATTCTGATGCTTTTACTCATCAGGTAGCACCACACTTCCCGAGTATCCTCAATGACTGCAGTGGATCCATTTGAGAAGAAAGGTGCTACCCAATATGAGTAATGATATTGGAATCTGCTTCTTCATCCTAGCTAGTCACTAGATACCACAGTTACTTCACTGCTGTACAGTTCAAAGCAAATCATTCTGCATAGGAACCAATTAAGCTCCAAAAGACAGAAGCTGGGGGTAGGACACTTTCAAATGCACATTGCATTAAAACACCCTTGATTTAAAAAACCGAAAACTAGGCTTGTCACTGTTCGCTGTGATGGCACATGGAACAGAGCTGCCTGGTCAAATTCTTTGATCCAATGTTTTCACTTGAAATCAGATTACCTATAACTAGCTATTATAGTTTCATATGAATTTCTGATAGTTTTATTTTTAATTTTTTTTCTAAATTATAGAATGCCTACTTTGTAGTTTATTTGGAGCATTCTTGTAGGTGAGAGAATGAGATCTGTCAGAAAGAATTTGCTAAGAACTTTTCTGAGCATTTAGTTTATAATTGGATATCTGACTGGCTTCTATTTATTTCAGTATCTCTCATTTATAATCAAATACACAGAGAAGTAGGTAAAACTTTCTAGAGTTCAGGCTTATCAAATCCTGCCAAAACAATTAAATCAGGCATTAACATGTCTTCATAAATGGCAAATCACAGAATCAGGTGGAAAAGTAGAATCTGGTTATGTGCACCTTTGCCACCAAAATGTCAATTCACAGATTGCAATTCCTTTGTAAAAATAATTATCTTAATTCTAAGTATGCAAGAAATGCTAAGTATGAAGCAAACCATTGGTACAGCACCTGCATTTTGGAAATATTTTGTATATCTGTAGTTGGATTTCTCAGAATCTCCTCCTGCAGATGTCCATCTTATGATGCTGTTGTTGAATTCCAGGTATTTAGTGTAGGGTGAAGAGAATTGTAATTCCTTAGATTTCACAGCCAAGGGAACTGGACCTTATCTGATATCAAAGGCCAATATTGTTATTCCATATTACAGGTAAGGCAACTGAGGTAGAGAGCTTGAGAGCCAGTGGCAGTGTTCTGATTACAACCCAAGAACAGCTGGTTCCCAATTTTATGCCACTAGTCTTTAGCTCCCCCTGACCACAAGACCATCCCAGAGAGGCAATTTCCTTTAACACAATGTGTTAGCCTACTAAATCCACTAAAGACGATCAGACTCCTTAAGGCCTATTAAAATTCAAGCTCTTATATAAATCAAAGGGTGGTGTTGACTCAGTAAACTCCCTGCAATGCACGCCTGTCTCTGCTCTAGAAATGAATTCCCAACAGGACAGTAGAATTGATGCATTGTATAGACTCCAATGAAGTATAGGAACTTTTTAAGAGGAAGTGTTGTTTGGTTTTAGTGATAGCAACACTTTCTATAATGGATGTAACCTATTAGTCTTTGTACACACCACTAATAGCTTGTAGCAAAGGTAATAGATTAAATTTACTACCATTGTCTCCTTATAATAAAATGAGTGTGCTCCATCACTTGTGCTTTTGAATAATATGAATGGCAAAGTTATTGGATAATAGCTCACAGAAATATAACTTCCACTTTACAGTGATGAGGCAAAAAAGATCTTTCAGTTGGTGATTCCGTCTCTTAACTAGCTGAATGAATCCCTTAGGTATCAATTACTAAACCAGTTCTTGCAAACCCAAATAAGACCCCCAGGTACTCAGAAAGGTGTTAAGTACTAGTGTCATTCCATCTTTTACAGGAGCTTGGTTTTCATTGCCTTACTATCATCAGAATCTGTATTTCAAACGTTACGGTATAATTTTTGCCTTAATTATGAAGGGTGAATCAAGTCTCTCCCAAAGAAGCAGACTGAACAATGACTTTTTTGTGGGGCAACTCCACAGAGCTTAATGTAGCAACAATTCACACCCAGTTGCTCCAGTCTGCAGATAGGAGAGTGGACAAAAAGTCCTCTGGCCACTGTGTGTTTTTTTGCTCTGATAGTCTGACATTTGCTCAATACTCAGTGCCCCTTGGAATACACTAAGATACATTTCCGCCAGTCCAGAGAATGACAGGAGTACGCAGATCACCTTTTCTGCAGCCCCTCCACTCATGACCCCAGTGCAGAGCAAAACCAGCACCAATGATTCCATGTAAGGGTTCCACCCAGGAGTATTGATTCCTTATGTGAGAAGGGGTTATTAACAAATGTGCCATGTGCTTCTTTCCATTCCTCCCTGTCCTCATCAAGAATGTAAACACACTTAAGCAAATATTTGCTAATAGGAATATTTCTTCTTATGGATGCAAGAAGTTATTTATTCAAAGGTGTTGATGGTACCAGATGCTAGATTGATAGCTATGGAGAATGAAATCTTTTATTAACTTAGAGAGCTGGAGATTTTCAGAAGTGCCCAGGAACATACATGTTTCCGATGCCTTTCAAGATGTGCTCGTCTGCCATGGGTGCTTTTGAAAATTTTGTGTAAAAACTTTAACTCAGGCAGTGAGAGTGCAGCCTTTCCTACTGTGTCTTTCACCTCTTTTCTGAAAAGGCCAGCTCTCTGGGGCAGACAGAGTAACTCCCTGTCCATACCTCTACAATCTCTGGACTCTCTGCTGAACTTTTCGAGGAGGCTGCTTATCAGTGCCAGCTGCATTAGTGACAGATTTTCATCTGACCTGCTCACTATAAGAAGACGAAACCATAACTTATCCAACTTTCCCAACTGCAGTGTGGTTCACTTAGTGGGAAGAGGTGGAATGCTTCTTCATTCTGGTACTGCTGAAACTGAAAGGAGTTTTGCAGACTGGATATGGTATTATTAGATGGGAAGGAAAGGAAATTTAAATGATCTAAATTCATCAAAGATTTAATACAAGATTTAGGCAGCATAAACCCTGGTGGAGATCCCTAGCATTACAGTAAGCTCCACTGACAGAAAGCAGCCAGAACCTCTTGTGATGGTAAGAAGCATGTAACACTAAAGGCCCTCAAAGAAGACGGGGGAGGGGAAGGATGTTGGTTTCAGGATGGCTGGCAAAAGTATGGATTCAGATTCAAAGTGCCAAGCTATCAACAACACTCCACAGAGAGTTCAGACTGCTTTTGTCATCCTGAAGGTACTGATGATAGTACAGCATACCTATTCTGATGCCAAGGGACCCACTTCAGTGGGCAATGCATTTATCACAACAAAACTAGCAAACCCTATTTTCAGTAATAGGAGGCGTGTCTACACAAGATGCTTAATGCACAGTAGCCTAATAACACTGCACAGTAGCATGACAGGCAAAAACCATGTTAATATGCTACTGTGCAGTAAGCATCACTAAAAACACAGGCACTGGCACTACTGTGTGGTAACTATAGTTACTGCACATTTAGTTAATAATTCATTAAACAAGTACTAAACTAAATGTGCAGTAACTACTATGCATTAATGAATGTGTAGACATGCCCACTGTAAACAGAAGCCCGAGGGAAGAGCTGCCATGTATCCTGACATGTCTCCAGGCTCCTTTTTCCTTTAGCTCCCTTCTCATTCTGCCAAAGGGAAAAAAAGAGACTTCAGACAAAAGTAGCAGCTCACGACATTACTTATGGCTTGTTCCAGTACCACTGACCAGGAGAAAGACTTGGGGCAAAAATATTGGCTCCACAAAAAATGTCAGCCTTCCCTTTCAGTAGGGCCAGAATTTCACCCTGGACGAGTAGTTTTATGACATAAAGACCAAGTACAGCTTTACATTATTTAAACCCATATGGCAGTCTGAACTCAAATAAGGGCAGGATTTTGGAAACTGTCTGTGCATGTAAGACGAAATCTCTTGGATTAGATTGTATTGATCCACAATACTGTTAAAATTAACTTAGTGTAGAACAACACTCCACAAGGTTTAGATGCAAAGGCAATGTGGAGCAGGGCTTGTCCTCACTAAGGAGCAATATAATTTGGCATAGTCAGCAACCCTGCCAGAGTTCACCACCCTGTATCATCTCCTGGCTGAGCGCTGTTGAGCTGTGCTGCAAGGCCCTCTCCTGGAAGCCACCCTTAAGAAGATTCCTCAACTACAAAATCTTTGTAGAAAAAGGTGATGCACAGCCTGTGACTTTCATGGTTTCTCTAATCTCATGGGGTTGCAGTGCATTATGGGATTGTATCTCTTTCCTCCAATCACTGCTTATCATACAGTGGGCTCTAGGCAGGGCGATGGTAGGGATGGTGACATCAAGGGTGAGGTGAGGTTCATTTATGGAGAGCCCATCCCTGCACAGACCCAAGGAAATTGAATTGGTCCTCATGTTTTTTCAGGGGCTGGCATTTTAAGATAGATGTATCTCCAAATAACTTGTTTTTTGGCTATCAACCATAAAACCTTTGGATATATTTCTTGTGTGAAGATAGTATATACTTTAATTGTTTCTCTACTATTATACAATTCTTGCCAGAGTACTCAAATTAATTATAGTGGAAGGTTTGGTTTCTATTAAAAGAGTTATAGAAACAAATGAGAAATGGAAAAAGTTTTATTGGGGCCATGCTGTTCATCTCTATGCTTATTTCAGTTCTTGAGTGTCCTATTAGTCCCATGCTAAATGAGACAAGAGAAGGAATCTCTACAATTCCCTTTGGAACACTACCCCCATAGTCAGAGCCCTCATAATTATGACCTTTTTATACAGATTTTCTGATACTGAGATAATCCCAAAGTCCTTTATATCCCACAAAAAGGGGATTTTTTCCACTTCTAATGTCTGTGTCACATAGGAAGTTATAGAATGTTTTATAACCATCAGCCAAAGTATTTTACCTTCAGATGCTTACAGTTTGTATGTATGCAGATCTCTGGCAGACAACAGTCACACCTTTTTAGATGTCATGTGGAATTTTGACTTAGAACCCAAGTAGCACAGGTTTCCTTTAATTTATTTAATGCATTGCCCCTTTTAAGGAAGGTGAACAATTTTGATGGGAATGTAAACTTTCTTCACTTTTCCCAGCAAGTTTTACCAATCCATGGACTTATTTATTTAGGGTTGGTTTTGGTTATGTATGATACACATCATGACAAGCCCTAAGAACCAAAAAAGATCAACATTCAGGACAACTGTCATGAGAAACAAAGCTCATTGTCATTAGCATTAGCAAGATTTTAACATGAAACAAACTTACAGACAAACCCAAGCTACCATCTGCTCCATGTATCATAACAATAGGGCTGTTTCGTTTCCCCATCCATCATTATAATCGTATACATTTAAAAGAAATTACAGCACTTTTTCTGGTTATCTCATCACCTTTTAAAAACAATTACATTGAATACTTTAAGTAAAAACCAAATTTAACTCTTTTTTCTACACAGAAACATATATATATGAAATACAGATGCTTGCAGGTGGATTTCATGAGGTGTGAAAATATTATAAATACGTATTTATATGCAACAGCAATCCCTCTAAAACAACAAGAAACTTGTTATCATATATAGCTGCATATAAGCCAAATTCTTAAGTTCAGATTTAAACTTCTCGAAACCAGAACGATCATTGACTGAATATTTTGCACCAAACTTGCTAGCTTCTAGGCGCTACCATAATAGAAATAAAAATACTCTGAATTTTGAAAAAAAAAATATTAACCCATGTATAAGTTGACATTCATCCTAACCATTGTTTTGAAAGTTTAGCTCAAAGTTTTGGCTTATATGTGACCACATACGGGAGCTGAGTCGCTGTTAATGCACATTTATATTGTTAGTTTGGTGGGGCTATTTTTTTGTTTGTTTTTACAAGCCTGAATATTCATATTTTTCTGCTCAGCTAGCAATGGTGAATAATACAGCAAAGCAGAACACAGAACAGAAGGTGTGCCACAAGGTGAAAAATAATCAAAACATAAATTCTGCATATTTGTCATTATAGCCCTCTTAGTATAGGAGACAAAAAACAAAAAAAGCCAGATTCCAACATCAGCTTTGCCAGTATAAATAAAAAGACCACCATTGTAATCTATGCAGTTACTCCTGATTTCTGCCAATCTAAATGAGATGAGAAACTGGCTCCAATTCCCTTATTGTGAGACCTCTGCTCAGTGGTAGTGGTATTCTGGGACCAGTCCAAGTAATTGCAGATAGGCAAATTTAATGATGAAAATCCTTTGTTGTTGTTGTGGTTGTGGTTATCTTTTACCAGCTATTTTGTATATTAAGAATAATGTCTCCTTAAATATAAAGTAAAATAAAATGGAATGTTCTTTTGACTGTGCCTGTGCTTTCTCATTCTGTTCAGGCTATAAATAAAGATTTCTATTTCAAGCTGGCATTGTATCAAAGCACCTGCTCCTAGTAAAAGGGAAAAAATCAGAAGCATTCAACCTGCAGATTGCTGTCGGCATGTGATTATCTCAGTGGCAAGGAGAGCTGTGCAAAAGTTGGCTGATTTCATTTGTAGAAAGGGGTCCATTCAAAGCTATTTTGGGGCTTGGGAGGTGTTAACCTATTCTAATATTCTGATTTAAGTTCTGGGTTTCAAACAGACCCAAATGCACAGTAATGCTCATCCAAATCCATAGATCTCTGTTTGCGGCTAGTCATGTGAATGCATGCCAAAGGGTAGGAGAACATACAAATGGAGCAGAAATCATTGAAGCCACCAGGAGAGATTGTCTATACCACCTAAGGGAGTTGGGTGTAGTTCTCATTATAGTCTATAGGAGCATGGCATCTAAATGACCGACGTTGGACAGACCCTTGATGTTCCTGCAAACATATGGTTCAATGGTATGTGGGAGCAGATTATAGAACTAGTCTGTCTAAGGAGGTTGAACTGTTGAGAGTTGGGATGGGGGGAGAGGAGGAGAAAAGTCACTGAGCTCAGCTGAGTTGATGGGCAGGGAGGGCTGAGAAGGAGTTTGTTGGCAACAGATGCTAGCTGCAGAAAAAAACATCTGTGGCATAGCCAAAAGCCTTAAAAATAAGGGTGCATGTGGGTGGTAGTTGTCCTTTAGCCACTCATGTGTCATTACATGCCTATTTTATTTAAAAATTGCTTTTTAATGAGGATTTGAGGAGTCACAATATCCATAAAGGCTGTAGATTATATGGAAAATGGAGAATATGATCTAAATTTGAGAAAGGAGATGTATTTGTTTCATATGAAGGTGTAGAATTTAGAAGTGGGATACCAGATTTCTTCAGTGCCTTTCCCTCACCATACATTCTGCTGCTATCAATTCTTCCATTTTCATTCTTTCCAAAGAATTACATGCTACATTTCTACCCAGCCAAGTCCCGATGCACTGACCAATATAGGGACAACAAGGCCTACAGAGGTAGCCAAAAGACAAGTCAAAGCTAAGGCAAAGCATTCAGTCCATGTTCACTTTCTTCCAGTAACAAGTGTTTTCATGCGAACGTCAATTCTGTGCATACACTAGCTGGAACGAATGTACATCAGAAAACCCATTAAAATCAGTCCCATTCCACTGCTGGAAAATTGGCATAGATTAGAAAAAGCTGCAACTATTTCTTGCCTTCACAGGCAGGTTGGCAAGTATACCAAATGGACACAACTTGGAGGTGCATAAAGGGCAGGGAAAAGCATGCTTAACTGGGACCTGATCCTGAATTCTATACTCACCCCAAACTCTCAATAAAGTTAGTAGTGGACACCCAAGAAACACAGGATCAAGTCCACAGTAAACAAAACAAAACAAAACAACAAACAAGAACAGGAGGAGGATAAAACAGGAGGAGAATAAAAGCTTAGCCTCATTTGTGCTATAGTCACTTCAGTTAAATAGTACCTCATATCTTGCCACATCACACTGACATAAAAAGGGCTGCTGAAGTTGTACAGCACTGCCTCATCCAAAGGTAGCAGAGTTAAAATCAGGCTGTGAGGAAACAGCAGTTCATGGAAACTGAAGACCTGAATGTAGCCTTTGCATCCGCTACTGTTAACTTTGCAGTTCTTTAATCTGGTTCTCAGCATGGCCTGTGCAGTCATGAATTTCATAATTCTTATCATATTTCATTTAAGATACCTATGGCAAGACTGATCAGAGATCCTTACAGCACAGTAACAATTTAATCACTTCTTGGAAAGCTTTTTTGGGAAAGGGGGATTCAGCAATTATTAGCAAAATTTGAAAACATAATGCAATCCTAATTCATTTCTGCAAACACAACTACTCTCAAATTCCCCATCACTATTTTTTATTGTGTAATTTAAATAAACATAATAAAATCCCCCACTTGGATCTGCACCAACTGCCTAAACCAGAAGTCAGCAGAATGTTTTGCATAAAACTTTGATTTTTATTGATCATGTTAATTCAGGTCATCATCACTACATGGGAAATGGATTACTAATGGATAAATGATAATTACAAGGGAAAACAGAATGGAAATACTAGCAATTCAGTCATCATTCCCTTTTTCCTCTCATATGTTTATTTTATTATCTAGCTAAAGGTGCAACAGGTTTTCAGTCACTTCCCTGTTTTATCAGCAAAGATAATCTCTCTGTTGTCACATGTTTATTAAAGTGAAATGACCACCGAATAAAGTTCTACACAATTTCAAAGGAAAAAGGGTTAGTTGCTGGCATGTAAACCTCTAGTTAACTAATGCAGGACTAAAATACGAGAAAGAAGCCCACAAGCCCTCGACTACCTCCTTCATTCCAGCTGCTTGAAACATAGCAATGGTATAAGCTGGATCAGCCACTGAATATAATAGGTTGAGATTTTCAAAGCAGTTTAGGTCCCTGATCTTGCCACTGAATCAGGGCATGCCTGAGCAATTGTAATACTGTGACCTAAGGCTTTTGACACAGGTTGTATCGATAGCAATGAAAGCTTTATGTCTAAATCCCATAATCCTGCTTTAAAAATCTAAGTTGAAGAATGTGGGTAACATTTTCACAAACACTTAAAGTTTCATTACAAGTCAGTCTTAGACACCATAGTACCCTTGCAAAATTTGACAAAAACTCCTAAGTTACAGAAATGCTTTTTAATTGTTTTGCCCTGGATCATTTATATATTCCTTCAAGTCAAACACATTTGTACTTATTATTTTTCCTCAAAATTATCCCAAATAATATATAAATTATATTTCTTGTCAACCAAACTTTTAAATAAATAAATAAATAAATAACTGACTCATTGATGAGGGGCAGAAGAGATGCTTAAACTCTTTTAACTCTTCCCCCAACAGTAGCAAAATACTATTACTCTACAACATTTTTTTTATATCAACCTTACAATGGTTCACCCTTTCGGTTCTAGTTCTTAGCCCTTTGTTATCTTTGACTTCTCTAGAAGTTGTTAATATAACACCGTTGTTAATATAACAGTTGTTAATATAACCAATGTTCCCCCTCCCTTCTCACCTCAACCAAATATATATTGGCCTTGTCCAACTCTGGGATCTTGTCTACCCCACCCACCCACAAAAACAAAACAACTCCCCCGACCAAGATAATATAGTTATTAAAATGGCAGCAAGAATAGCTAAAGTAAACTGTTCGTGTATGTTGGTTTTTGTCTTTATAGTAATTTAAGAAAGATGAGCCTGACAGGTCATTATAATTGGCAATACTTTGGCCTTTTGGAGGCTATCATGTTTTAAACATTTCTTTAGTAGTATAATCCTCATATTATGCATGGATAACCCTGGTTTATTAGCACTGGAGAAGAGCTCATTTCTATCAGCAGAGCTTTTGTATGTTTTAATTCATTTCTTTAAATACTAAGGTGACCATATTTTCCTAAGAGTACACAGAATGCCTTACCTCCTTTCTTTTTCCTCAGTACACATTAACATTTTAACAATGGCTTAGAAATTAAAACCAAGGGGCTACATAAACAAATCTCTTTCATCAAAGTATAATTTGTCTCCTATATGCCAGCAATGTGTTGTAGGTTGGACTCTCCTGGGTATGACTCCAGGGCTTTGTTACAGTAGACTGGTCCAGTGTGATATCACACATATAAAAAATATTCCATTCTGTATCAAAACTAGGCACATGCCTTTTATTTATATGAAGAGAAGGTCAATGAAGCAGAGCATTTTCGCCCCAAGCTCTTCCTCTCTGATCTTCTACATGAGGACAAACATGTTATACTCTCTCTCTCTCATTGGTAACTACAGAGGTCTAATTTGGGGTTTGACTGTAGTTAAAGGGGGTGGGGTGACATCACACTTGGGTCAGTACTGGTGGATATTCAAAAGCACAACCTCTCATTCGTATTGCTTTAAAATGTACACAGTATATATGTATACTAAAAAAAAGATATATCAATTTCTTTGTGGTGTTGAACCAACTAGAAGGTATGATGCAAGGCTTAACAAATGAGATCTATAGATACAAATTTCACTGTAGAGTATGTTTTAGACAAAGGTGTCTCTTTTTTTAAATATGGAAATCCTACACTGTAGGTTGTTTTTCCTTTTTTCTTTTTGTAGTGGTAGAAAATGTTGAACAATTGTCCATGAACATGATCCAACAGTTCATTACTGAGATCCCCAGAATGTCAATATTTGCAATGCAAACAATTAGTACAATTTACCAACTCTGTGAAAGGCCCTGACACATCTGCCTCAAGGTTAGGAGGCTTTGCTGTACAACCACATGTAGTCTTCCCATTTCCATGTAACCATTTGACACAGTGACAGCTGCATTAAGCTGCCTTGCCTAGCAATGCCACATGCCAGGCTGGCTTAATTGGTTATAATGCCACAGAAAAAAGCACTGCTAGCAGTATACCATCAAATCATTTTCATATTGAACCTCCGTGGTCCAGCAACCTCCCCTTCAACTACAGCACCATTGTTTTTGCGGGGGACATACTCAAGGTCAATGCTGGTTTTGTGCTTGCCTTTCCCCCGGCTCCACACAAACAGAAGTAGGAAACAAAATAAAACCACTCCGAGGAATGTGAAGCAGCCCATAGCTGTGGACACCAGTATTGTTTTAAGGTCCAGAGAGAAGGTGTTCACATTGGTTCCATTGGAACTGGTGTCATTGGAGTCTGTCATATACATAGGGGTCCTGTTGGCATAAAGGAAACGGTCTGAAGTAAATCCTTTTACTGTAAGGGAGGCTGAGTAGGTGTCATTCCCAGCAGCATTACTCGCAATACAAACGTAGGTCCCAGTGTCTTGATCTTGAGCAAAACGGATCTCCAGTGTACCGTCTCCTAATACTGTAGATCTCCCATTTGATTTAGTTGTGATCAGCTTCCGTCGGGGTGTCACCCAAGAGATGGTAGGCTGAGGGTCACCGTCAGCGTTGCACATCAGTTGCACTGTCTGCCCTTCCTCTACTACCAGGTACTGCAGCTTCTTGTCCCGTATCTTGGGCTTCTTGCAGGTGAAGTAAAATGAAAGGGCAGTGCTGTGGAAGTCTTTGAATGACCTCTCTTTGACACTGTCTGGGCCAGCACACATGGGCTGCTGGCTACCAAACTGTAATGTAGGCTGCCTTTGTAATATCCAAAGAAGGCGGCAATCACAAGCCAGGGGGTTGTTATTAATGCAGAGGATCTCAAGGGCCTTGGGGGACTGGAATACATTCTCTTCTAGAGTTTCTAACAGGTTTTGAGACACATTGAGCACGCGCAAGAACCGGAGCCCTTGGAATGCATGTGGTTCAATGGTACGTAATTGGGCCCCCACCATGTGGAGCTCCTGCAGGCGCACCAGGTCTGAAAACATGTCTGCCTCAATGGTGCTTATGGGGTTGTAAGAGAGGTTTAGATGTGTCAGGTAAACCAGGTGCTTGAAAGCAGAATAAGGTACTGCGGAGAGATTGGTGTTGGTAAGGGAAAGAGAAGTGAGGTTGAGACCATACAGGCTATTGGCTGGCATCATGTCGAGTAAGGGCCAAGAGTCTATCTCTAAGTCTTTTAGGCGGAACAATCTTTTAAAGGCATATGCAGGCAATGCATTAATGTTGAGATGTCTCAGACGCAAACTGATGAGGTTATGAAGGTGGGAAAGAGCTTCTGTTGGTACAGCTGTCAGGTTACATCTCTCCAGAGTGAGCTGTTCCAAGCTAAGCAGCCCACTAAAAGCCCTGTGAGATATATAAACCAAATCATTGTCCCCAACCTCAAGGGTTTTTAGGTTATGCAGATCCTGGAACATGTAGTCCAGCAGAATGACAATCTTGTTTTCACTTATATCAAGCTTTGTTAAGTTTGACAGCCCTGTGAACACCCCTAGAGGGACCAGCTTCAGCCGGTTTCCTTTGAGTCTCAGGGATCGCAAGTTGAAAAGATTGTTAAAGGCTCCAGGCTCTACATTGGCAACAATGTTGTCACTGAGGTCTATCTCTTCAAGCAGTGGGTATGATATGAATTCCTCAGGGCTGATGCTCTTCAGCCGGTTCTTGCTGAGGTCCAGGATTTTGGTTTCTATGGGAATGCCCTCAGGGATGGACATGAGGCGCCTCCTGTGACAGCTGACAGACTTGTTCTGTGCTGAGCATTCACAGCGAGCCGGGCAGCCTATGGTGGAACCCATAAAAACTAGCAGCATAGCCAGACCTAGGAATGGCTGCCAGCATGATATGGCCGTGTGAAGCATGACTCCACTGATGTCGTCTACTTCTTGGTTACGGGCCTGCAGGGACATAGAAGAAAAAAAGGAAGATAAGTTCTGAGCTGAAGAGAATCTCAACCAAACTTCCAAAATGTATTTCAGAACAGGAATATATATTTTCATTTAAAAACACCAACAGACTCTAGAATGAATGCAGACAACAAACAAACAAAAAAGATTGCATTACAAGTCAAGAGGCATTTCTAAAAGTCTGTTTGCCCAGCATTTTCCCTGCAGACAACGGATATGTCATGAAGCAGCTTTTCATACTGGCTGCAGTGATGGGAGCAATTCTTTGGGCTTCTGCATGACAGTCAGTTTCTGCTGCAAAATCAGAGACAAACGCATGCTTTGTGCAAACAGGGATGGAAATAAACTTCACTGTGCTTGTAAAATGTAGCATTGGGCCCCAGTGATGAACTAGAACTTTGCATTTCCTTACTTTTTTAACACTTCAGAGCAACCTTACTGTTGTAGTTCCTACATTCTCTGCATGAGAAAACTCCTTGGCAATTAAAACAAATAGTTTTTAAATTAAAACAATAGTAGTGTAGTCAGTGTATACACTATTTATATGTAGACGCATGTGTCTGTATGTGTGTGTGTGTAGTGGGAGAAATGTTTCACATACATACACACACACATGAATTGCTGCATCTCTGATTAGCAACTGATATTAAGGACAAATTGATTTATTTTGATTGATTTTAGCTTCACAAAAGGGTTTTATTTCTAAGACCCATTGAGATGCCAGCTATTACAAAGCACATTGCTTACAGAATACCTTTTTCATTTTTAAACATGAAGAGCTGAGTTTTGTTTAAGCAATGCATTCCTGATAGGTACAATATATTGCTTAGAAGCCACCATTTCTATTAGAGTTATTTTATTTCAGCCTTGAGGTTAAAATTGAGGGTTGCTTAAAGAAAGATTGGTTTTATGAAACTTAATTATTCTTCTCTCCAGTTTACATTTTAAAAGTTCAGTTACTAAGGGGAAATACTTTTATTTGGGCAGCTGCTAAACAAAGCACTCTGAAACCTGATTCCTTAAAAAAGTGCAGGAGATTTGAGTTTGGGTAAAAGTGAATAACTAGTAACATTTGCCAAAGTGAGACACACTTTAAGTAAGCTCTTTTTTCAAATCACTCTTGACCTATGTGGCCTTTCTATTCCACAGTGGTGCTTCTTCTAGGCAGAGACTGATAATATGCAGCAAATTGTGTGGTGGCTATGTGATATAACCTGGGGACTGGGATGAAGACCATTCTTTATTATACTATCTATAACAGTACATTTCAGCTTGTCTTGGTAGGACAGACTGCTGAGATTCATTTAGTTTCCTCCTTCAGAAGAAGTCTTGCAAGTAAAGATTGCTAGTTATGTCCAGCTGTGACAAAGGTTTTCCAAGATAAACTTCACTTCATTAGGAACTAAGTTAAAACTGAAAATCTATAGGGCACTGTGATTTGGGCCTTTCCACTGAATTCTGATCAAAGAGGCTTTCAGTTACTCTGATCATTAGTTTTCGAACTCAGTCTGTGAGGTTAGCACTTTCATGCTGATACTTCTAGCGTGCAGGGAATTCATTTCCCATCTTATTCACCTAATGTATGAAGCATAAAGTAAACAGGTTCAGTGGAAGATGAGCACTCCTGGAGTGCTCATTTTAGTTGGTAAAAATGCAAAATGCCTCTCTGCAGACACCCAAGCTACCTCGCAAGTACAACTTCTACGCAAGTATGAAGAAAGGGAGGTGTGCAGAATAAACTAATTTTGTCAACTGCAGCTGGCTGGCTGAAGAAAGGGAAGTAGAGTTCGTAAAGACTTTCAAATATTCCTAATTTCTTTTTGTGTGCACAACCAGGGACAGATGGATATGCGTTAATGTACTTATATGTGTATGTACATGTGGTTATTTGTGTGTGTGTAGGTATATGAGAAAGGTAAGATTTCAGCTGATGTTAATTACGTATTAATGAGAAAATCTAAGTTTAAAGCAGTTAAAACACATGCAAACCTGCAGGCAAATAAAAAAAAAAAAAAAAAAAAAGCCTGAGGGGAGGGGGGGGGAATTTTTTTTTTTCCAGGTTTTTTTTTTATAATCAATTTTACACTTTTTTTTTT